CATGGAAGTATTCAATGGCTTCCATCAACTCCCCCTTGATGGTGTCCCAAAAGAGCTGAAAGAAAGCCAAGGAGAAACCATCAGGCCCGGGGGCCTTATCACCAGCACAACTCGACACAGCCTTGTGCACCTCCTCCTCCTCGAAAACCGTTTCTAGCCACTTGCTGTCTCCCTCCCCTATATGGTTGAACTCTATTCCCCCCCAAAGTCGGCATCCAGCTAACTTCCTCTTTATATAAGTTCTCATAAAACCCCGTTATCGCCCATTTTACCTCCTCCTCTCCCTCAATCCTCGCCTCATCCACAACTAAGGACTTTATGAAGTTTCTCCTTCGATTTGCGACCGCCACCTTATGGTAAAACTTGGTATTCGAATCCCCCTCTTTTAACCAGAGCACCCTCGATTTTTTTCCGTCAACTAGTCTCCTGGGTTATTGCTAACTCGACTATTTCCCTCTTAACCTCCCTCAATCTCGCTTTCTCAGATTCATCTAACTCCCCCGCCCCTTCCCCTCTTTCTAATTCCCCTAATTCATGCATAAGCTCCCTCATTTTAACGTCTACCCTCCCAAAAACCTCCTTATTCCACCTAATAATATCTCCCTTAAGCAATTTGAGTTTCTTCGAAAGACGGAATGAAGGTGTCCCTGATACCCCGTAGCTTGTCCACCATTCTTTCACCTTGTCACCGAATCCTGGCACTTTCAACCACATGTTTTCGAATCGGAAGGGAGCACGCACCCCCCTCCCTCTGCATCCATCTAGCAAAATAGGCAAATGATCTGAAGTCAACCTAGGTAACGGAATCTGCAGCACATTCGGCACCAGCTCATCCCATGAGGGAGATGTCAAGAATCTATCAAGTCTAGACCTTGAGTTAGAATCCTCCGCCCTGGCCCAAGTAAACCTTTCCCCTGNCAAATCCCCACTCCACCCCACTCACTCTATTTTTGACGAGAGCTGCCAAAGAAAAAACTCCCTTCCTAATCTCCTTTACCTCCAAGCTTCTATCATCCCACATAAGTAGAATGCCCCCGGCACTTCCCGTTGCTGGGACCCAGTCATATTTCACCCAACTACCTCCCCAGACACTTCTCACGATTGCATCCGACAAAACTTCCATTTTGGTCTCCGAAAACAAACTAGGTTGGAAGGTTAGACAAGAGACTTACCTCGCTCCGAAGCTCCATAGCCGGCTCCAACGCCACTCTAACACCTCAAATCGATGCTCGTCGATCCAAAACTATGCAAACAAGGTGCAAACCAATCAAAATGTGTTATAATACCCATAATTAATCAATTTAAACAATTTACAACTCCGCTCGACCGAATTTCGAAAATATTCGAAGATAAACTTTACCCATAACATCACGAACTCAAATATATGATTTATTCCTAATCCCATGTCCGATTTCGTGGTCAAAATCCAAAAAATACCCATTTCTAGGTTTTTCTTCAAAATTCCAAATTTCTACAAATTTTCATGCTTGAATCCATATAAAATCCTTGTATTTAACTCACAATAGGTGGGGATAACTTGCCTTGCCATTAATGATGAAAACCTCCATTTGAAGCTCTCCAAGAATTGCCCCAAACCAAGAGAGAATGACAGAAATGGGTCAAATCCCGTCTTAAAAACAACTCATTGCCCAGCCCCAACCTTCGGACCTGCGGTCCTTTTGTCACTTCTGCGCCTCCGCTTCTGCGGAGGATTACTCGTAGGTGCGGCTCTCCCCCAAGACCAGCTCCTTCGCTTTTGCGCTCCTTCACCGCAGATGCGCATCCATTTCTGCGGAAAATCTTCTTCACCTGCGGACTCCCAGTCCCTCACTCCCTTCCGCTTCTGCGACCACTGGGCCGCTTCTGTGGGCTAGCACCTACGGCCCTTTTCACGCACCTGCGATCGCACCAGATGCCCAACTGCTTCAGCAATTCCTCCAAATCCAAATTCGATCTGTTGACGATCTAGAATCCACCCGAGGCCCTCAGGACCCCAACCAATTATACCAACACGACCCAAAATGCAATATGAACTTAGTCGAGCCTTCAAGTCACATCAAATAACGCTAAAACCACGAATCACACCCCAATTCAAGCTTAATGGACTTAAGAACTTCAAACCTCTACATCTGATGCAAAAACCTATCAAATCACGTTTGATTGACCTCGAATTTTGCACACAAGTCACATTTGACATTATGGACCTACTCCAACTCCCGGAATAAAAATCCGAACCGGATATCAAAAAGTCCACTCCCGGTCAAATTTTTCAAAAATCTTCAAATTCCCAACTTTCGCCAATTGAAGCCGAAACGACCTACGGACTTCCAAATCGACGTTCGGACACGCTCATAGGACCAAAATCACCATACAAAACTATTTCCAGGATCGAAATCCAGAGCGAACATCGATAACATCAAAATCCACTTCAACCCAAACTTAGGAAATTATCAAACCTTCAAAATGCCAACCTTCCGTAATAAGCGCCGAAATACTCCCGGTCCACCCGATTGTCACGACCCAAACCCATGGGCCGCGATGGGCACCCGGTACCTTACTCAACCGAGTACCAACATAACGTATCTTTTGTATCATTCCATCATAAGTAAATGAACCGGAGTAAAGCATGAGGGAATAAACTTATGCATATGACATACTGGCCTATAAGACCCAAAACGATCACTCGTACACTGAACATAGGCCGACAAGGCCATACAACCTTTCATATGCATGACATCTATCTACAAGCCTCTAAAAATACATAATTGTCATAAAGGTTGGGACAGAGCTTCGCCATACCAAACAATGCACATCTAAATCATACTGACCAAACAAGCAACTCCGGAGCAAATGGAGTGCACCAACATCTTCCACTGAGCTGATCGCCTACTTGGAGGACTCTTAACCTGTCTATCGAGACCTGCGGGCATGAAACGCAGCGTCCCCAGGCAAAAGGGACGTCAGTACAAATAATGTACCAAGTATGTAAGGAATGAAAATCAGTAAATAATAAACATGAGAGAAATATGGAGTAAAAGACTCGACATGTACGTCTGCACAGCTCTGTAAATCATTTCACTTTTATAATACCATGCATATGCGTATAAATGTCATACCATGCATAAGTATATGCATTCATAACATCATCAAGCCTCTGAGGGCATCCCATCATATCATTTCGGCCACTGTGGGCAAATCATCAACATATACCAGTTGATCAGGTGGTGGTGCGTATATAATGCCATAACCTTTTCCCGTATCCCATATACATATAATATACGCGTATATAACGCCATCTGGTCATGGGTCAATGTACATGTATAAATGCATGAAATGCATAATAATTACGTTAATAAGATTTCTCGGAATGCCATAAAAATTAATATGCCTTTCGGATAAACTTTATCAAATAAGTATTTTTCTGAGACCCATGAACAGAAGATATAATAATAATTCACATGGGGAAACAAGAATATAGACACCCCTAGTATTTCTATGAATAGAGTCATTTATGAAAGTTGCGTATTTTGCTCGTCTCATTTTTATTATTTGGATCACGCCAAAAGAAAAGAAGGGATAGCCTTAACATACCTGAGCCGATTCTCTTGACACAACCTCTAACATACATAAATTGCGACAAATCATTTAATGGCGGATCGAAGTAGGGAAAAATCCATATGATATTCTTGAGAAAGATTGCACCGTACTCCCTTAGAATCGCAAAATCTTGTTGCTATTATGCTAAGAAGTATCGTATGAATTGAAGTAACTTACGTTACTATCATATATGATCTTGGATGATCTTGGATGAAATTTTTCCTGCTGAAACCTTCTTTGAATTGTAGACTCAAAGTGAATTAAAGAGATCTCTTTAATCTTTTGGGTGTGGGCCCCACATTTTTGTGATGACTAGGCCACATAAATTCTCCAAATGTGCCACCTATTTTATTCACTTAAGAGTCACATATTAGGCTTTGATCAAGACTTTATGGGCTGCCACGTTTGGGCTAATTGATTCTTAATGAAATATCTCTCTTTCTCTCTCTAAAATCTCTGAATCATCTCTCCAAGTGGTCTGTTCAAGAGCAATTCTCTCAATTTGCTCTTTAGGATACTTAACTCTTCTTTTAATTTCGATAGCTTGTATCACAAAGACAGAGCAAATAACAATCCATGTAAAAGTAAATTAACCAACAAAAGCTTTTACATTCTTCAGCTAAAGCAAACTTCCCATTTTTCTAAAGAAGAAAGAAAAAGATTACATTTTTTTCCTGAAATAGGATAAAAATAAACAACAAAAACCTTTTTTCCTCGTACAGAAAATAAAAAAGAAGCAAAAAGGAGAAAGAAGGTTATCATACATTTTCACCACAGCGCATACAGAGACTTTCAACGACATAAAGAGGAGTATCAATCTCAACATCATCTCCGGCGGTTGCTACTGCTTCCACCACCGACCGAACATCCATTGTCTGTTCCTTAGCACCTGCCATTCTCTAATAAAATAATAATCAAATGGTGAGACAAAAATAATCAAAAGTATATTTCAATCATGCTTCTCTTATTTTTTTTCTTGAAGCAAGCTTTCTAAGGTTCGTGTGCTAGTTAATGGTGGCAGAAGACAGGTTCTAATAATATTGGGTTGTAGAAGTTTTGGTTCGAGAAGCTGCGCAAGAGTCTAGTAGAAGCGCGAGGGCACGAGATGGGCACATTCGGCACTCACAGTAACTATAAAAAAGGACCTAATAAATATATTTGCATAGAGAGGAAAGTTCGACAAGTCGTCTTAGCTCAGCGGTAGCGCGCGTGGCTTTTAACCTATGTTGCTCGGACTCTCCAAAAGTGCTGACGCACCCATGTCGGATCCTCCAAAAATGCACTAAATTTGGAGGATCCGACACGCACCCAACAATATTTTTGAAGAGTCCGAGTAACATAGCTTTTAACCACGTGCTCGTGGGTTCGATCCCCACAGATGGCGCTTTTAACACTTTTTCGTTTTTGAAAATTCAGATTTTAATAAGTGGCCTAAACTTTTTTTAATATATATTTATATATAATTAAAAGTTTAAGGTCTCTTATTAACATTTGGCTTTAGGCTAGTGTTGTCTTTTTTCTTTTTTTCTTTTTTGCACTTTGTTGTTTATAATGTAGTATGCTTACAAGACATAAAGCGTTTAAGATCATTACTTATACTGGTAGCGTTTAATTCAAGTGAATAAGATATTAGCCATTGTTTACAATATATTACCTTGGATCTTGTTGTAGAAAGCTCTATTTATTAATATGAAGATTTGAATAGTTTTATTAAAAGTTCTAAAATATTTCTATTAGTAAAAATTAGCCATTCTTTTCTTTCTTTTTATAATGATTATGTACATTTTTCTTTTGTTCTGCAAATTTTAACAAAGTAAATCCTTTCTTTAAGTCATGACTAACTACAAAGATAACTGAGATGCAATCTTTTACTGCTGTATTTCAGTATTAGGCTAAAATACATAGAATAATAAGATAGATAAAAATAAATAAAAGAAAAAGAAAAAGAAAAGTACCAGAGACAGAATCCAAAAAAAGCTGGAATATTCGGCCTTCTTTGTGTGAGAGCAAGGAATAGAAATTGGAGACTCGTAGTCATATAAACTTGGCTTGAAAAAGCATTTCCCATGAATAACCGAACGAACTGTTGCGCATCTCTATGATTGAGGGCGAGCGCATGAATTGTTCAAATTAAGACAGTAAAACTCTACCGTACCAAACCATTTGATACGCTTTAGGGTTTACAAATAAAAGGGTCTTTGCTCAGTCGCATTAGCAAAATAATTCCTGTATAAATTTTACATGAAATAATAAAATGCCGAATAAAGAAAAATCTTTGCATAATTAATGCAATACAATTGGGATTAAGTTTTATAGGTTGTCATTTAGCTTTATGTTATTATACTAAAATTATTTTTCTTTTTTTGGTTACGTAACAGTCAATGTTGTGTTTATTACTCAAAAATTATTTTTCTTTTTTATTTACACAAAAAATTATTTTATTATGCTTTACTTATTACAATAGTCACTTTGATTAGATTTTTATAAAAATTTTACCTGAAAAGTTTATTATGCCCCTGGCATTGTAAATCCTCTCATTATATAATACCTTATATATTATATACTATATAATATATTTTTACCTAGGTATTTTACTTATAGTTAAAATAACTTTAAATTATTTTATTTATTATTTTATAATATATCTGTATATTTAATTTTGTCATGGCACTCAATTTATTTAATCATATTCAAACATGAACATATATTGAAACATAAAAAAGACCAATAAAAATAAAAAAAAATAAAAAAAAAATAGTTAACAAATGATAGTTTTTTATAGTCAGTAAAACTTTCAAAAACATTCAAAGATATTTGTGTTTAATATTAAGTCTTTTAAAGCTTTTATCTGTTAATTTTTTTTTTTTGAAAGTGTTAATTTGATGTGTTACTGTGCTAAATGTGGATATTTTGTTTATTTGATTAACGAATACGGCTTGACTGATAAATATATGAGCTTTAATTTTATAACTTTTGTTAAAAATATTTCATTAGGTATAGTTAAGAATATTGACTTGAAATTTATTCACAGTAATGTTACTAACAAATTTAATAATGTTAGCTCTATATCTTGAAAATTAACTTTAAGAAAAAATTAAATGTCGAATATATTTAAAAATAATAAATCAAATAATATTAAGTTATTTTAATTATAAATAAAATACCTAGGTAAAAATATATTATACAGTATATAATATAGAAGGTATTGTATAAATGGGGGAATTTATAATGTCAAGGGCATAATAGACTTTTCATGTGAAAGTTTTATAAAATTTGGCCAAAATGACTATTATGATAACAAGAGTATAGTAAAATATTTTTTGTGTAACAAAGGAAATAAAAGTGACTTTTGGATACTGAGCACAGAGTTGAATGACTTTTATGTAACAGCAAAAAAGAAAAGTGACTTTAGGGTAATGAACACAAAGTTAAATGACATCCATAAAATTTACTCTACAATTGGTGGTATTAAGCGTAATAGTCGCTTGACTTTCACTCCTACCATTACTAGTGAAACTAGTGAATTTGTTCGCGCAAAAGCGCGATACAGTAAAGAATTTAGAATTATCTTCTTATGAATCAAGTCGAGATAGAGAGACAAATTCTTTTTTGCTTAGTGTTGAGACTTCTTTTCCCTACTAACTAACAAAATAATTAAGAAGATCAATTTGTTAACATCAATTCATATATGTCTTTCATATATAAAAAAACTCTATTTTATTAAATATAAATTATATAGACAGTATAAAAGTATTCATAGGTTTTATTTATCCATTTATTTTTCACTTTTATCTTCTTTTAATACGGTGACATTGCCTCTTCTATTTCCTACTTTTATTTGTTTTCTTCACCAAATGCATCTACATTATAGTCATCAGACAACACATAGTCAGTGCTTCTCATTGCAAAAATAATAATAAGAAGAAGAAGAATGTAGAGACTTTTATTCTAACCATAGGATAAATAGGAAAGTATAAGATAAAAGCAGGAAAATGAAAAAAAATAATAATAATAATAGAATATACCATGTTGAGTAATAGTATCCTCTCGAGTTGTTGAATAAATTTTAAAGTAGTTTTGGTTTGACATAAGAGTAGAAAAACTAATCCAAGAAATAGTGAAAGAACCAGAGTGAAAATTACATCAAAATCAAAATCCAATAATACATGAATAATGTCTATGTACTACACTTTAGGATTTTTGCGGAGAATCATATGCAAGAGCGAAAATGTTATTGTCACAACTGTAACCAAGCCAAGGACCTGAATAGTGAATACAAAGCCAAATAGCAGGTACCGTCACCACTTGTGCACACACCATGATGTGATTCATCTGGTAATCATTATAGGAGAAAAGAGAATAGTGTTATTAAGCATACAAATTTATATAGAAGTAATAATGAAAGAATTAACAATACCTCTAGAGATCCCTCGTAAGTGAACCGGCACAAACAACAATACTGTTTCGCAGCTTTGGATAACAGCATGGTTTGAAGAGCAAATAAAATGTGCTCTTCACCATAGTGAAAATGCTGAGAATGAAAATTATAACGAAATAGTTTTTTGAAGAGCCAAACTCATGTGCTATAATAAAAGAGAAATTTTCATAACTACAACTTCTATAAGAGTATATTACATTATGTACAACTATTATTTGATTTACGTTTTGTACAACTGTATTTATGCTTTAAAAAATTAATGAGTATCGAGCTTTGTTAAGCCACCCTACAAATATGATAGTATCCCTAAAAAACCTCCTCTCTCCTCTCGAAATCAGTGAATGAGGATCCCAAAATTTTGGCATATTTAATAAAATTCTTATTATTTCCTAAATTTAAGCCTAACTGAATTGACTACAACTAAAATCTCTAAATCCCTAAAACATAGTTTAACCAAATGGACTACAACTCAAATACAATGAATTCTCTTAAAAGATGTCCTTTGGCTGTTATTTAAAAATAGGTAAGAGACTACACTATATATAATATATGTTCATCAAGTAACAATACGTTTTTTTACAGTATTGCATATAATTGAAAGTATACTGTATATCCCTTATACAGTGGTATAGATATATAATATATTGTATAATGTATTTAATCATTAATGAACAATAAAATATATTATATATTCTACTTATGAAATAATGGTTTAACTTATATACATAAAATAATATACTTTCTACCTAAGTAAATATACAATATACTTAAAGAAATTGTATGTTGTACATAGTATAAATATACTATATACTACATACTATATACCATATACTATAAATATACTATATATAATCCTCTTATATCCAATGTTCTTTATTTGTATATAGATAATAGAGCATCTAAATATATTTTGCAAATACGTATATTAATGTATTCATATATATTATATGAAAAGTATCTACATATATTATACCAAATTCATAAATAAATATTTTGGTATTTTGCCTTAATCCACACGTGATTAAACATTGTTACTTTCAAATGAAAATATTGAATCACAACAATGTCTCAGAAAATAAATTTAAGAATATTAATTTCTATTGATTGAATTTAATACCGAACAAAAGAAAGAAAAAAGAGGAAGAAAAGAACACCATTGGTGTGAACAACAAAAATCAAAATGAGTTTGAAGATCCGAAATCCAAATTCATTAGCGATATTGTTGTTCTTGGTGGCTTTGTAACTCATTTCTGCTTCCATGGATAACAGGACAAATATTTCCAAAAATAAGTGTTTTGGGTGACTCCTCTGAGTGCTCATACGAGTAGATGAAATTGAAGTGCAAGGAGAAAATAATATTATTTACATGGAATTGTGGTAGAGAATGTCTGTTCATTCTCAATATGGTTTGGTGAGATGATTGGATATTAAAGAGAACAAGTGTGTTATGATTTCTCAATACCATCTAGTTAATGAATGAGAAAATTAAGGAGTCAATAGTATTAACTCAATTAAGAGATATGTATTAGGAATGTGGAATGTTGTAGATTTTTAAAAAGTTGCATTATATATAATAATTTAAAATTAGTTGTAACTCATTTAAATAAGTATTAAATAAGTTGTATTCTATGTAAATAACTCATAATAAAATTGCATTTTAGATCTTTGCCTTAGGCCATATATGCCTTTGAGAACTCTTGTGATTCTTGAAATTCTCTTTTTCTTTTTTTATATGATTGAAATATTACTCAGATAAACCTTTAAATTAGAGAAAGGATATGAAATAGATGCAATTCCATGAGATATAAAAAGTTTGTCGATGGCTAACCTGTCTGCGAGTATCACTCGGAGCACTTTCAATATTATCAGAAAGAGGCTTAGATTACAAAAAGACATGATGCAAAAATAATTACGAACAAAGTTTACAACGTACTTATCATGTCAGGTGCTTGGCTTTGAAATTTAGTACTTGTCAGATCAGGTGCTTGGCTTTGAAATTTAATTCCCTTTACGATATAACAGATACGTTGAATCTTGCCGACCCTGCAACACACCCAAGGGAACACAAATAACAATTGCATAAGAGTATGAATAAGAAATTAAAGAAAAAAAATAGTACTTACCGAGTGCAAAGCCATAAACCTGGTCTTCAAATATAAGAACAAATTCATCAAGCTTTTGCCTCTTCGGCTGTGTTATAATGTAATGTCCATACATGTAAGTAAATTCTAATAATAAAGAAGCTAACGGTAGAAACTTATGGAAGAAATTAATAGAGGGTCTTTATATAATTTTAAGCAATATCTTAAGGTGAAAATAAGAGAAAAATGTCAAAAATTTGACAAAAAAGATAAATACCAATGCTAGCTTAAGAGATATGCCATGTCAGCATTTATTGGCCCTCTTTTATATATAGATATAGATAGATAGATGTTGGATACCTAGTAAACAAATATGCCATGTGAATTTACTCATGAATGAATTATGTGAAAAATAATATGAACGACCTTAATTTCTACGCATCGTTCAGATGTTGGCCAAGGAAATGATGACCCAATATATTTCTTGTAAAACACAAATTTTATCTAAATATATCCATTTTCACCTAGTTATTTGGGTGTCACAACCCAAACCGAAGGGCTGCGACGGGACCGATGCCTTACTCAACCGAATACGAGCGTAACGTATCTTTCGTATCATACAGTCATAGGTAAATAAGCTGGAAAGGCCGTCACGAGATAACCAAAATAAACATAAGAGAGTGCTAGACATAGAACAACCCAACAGGG